TGCCTGGCCCTCTCGTTAACTGTGGGTGCAATATGGAGGTATTTAAACCCCTTTGAGGGGACATAATACTTCTTTTCTTCCTTTTTAAAAGTGGGTGGAATGAAAGAGGGGGTCTGCCACAGCAGTTTTGCAATCTTAAGGATCCTAGGTGGACAGGCAGCGTGATTTGGGCCGGGGTGGTGAAAGATCTGACGTTGAAAAGGTCATCCAGTTGCTCCACCAACTCCTCAATTTCCAGGTTTAAGTTGGCAGCCATTCTTTTAAGGAGAGCCTGGTGCTCTTTAAAGTCGTTGGGGGGACTGCCAGTCAGGGAGTGCCCTGCCACCACTTTGTCCGGCGATGAAGATGACAAGTGCATCGCCGAGGGAGGGGTAGGGTGGGTGAGGACCAACGCCTGGGAGATCATCTAGGCGATAGTGACCTGTGCTGGGGCAATCTCTAGCGGGAGGCTCACAGGTACCAAGCATACTGAGACTGGTGTCTTGATTCCAGCATTCCATGCCTCGTAGAAGGAGAGCGCGGTGCCAGGGACCTGGGTCTTCTGGCCAGAGATAGAGGTTGCAGGACTGGGGTCCTAGGCTTGGGGATGGGGATATACACCTGTGATCCGGGACCAATGGAGCCCCACTGCCCTTTGGGACAGTCCTATGGCTGGCTTGCCCTTGGATTGCAGGGCTTTAGCTAAGTCCAGCGCTTGGCACGGCAGCGCCTGCGGTGCTGGCAGGCTCACTAGGTCTTTAGTTGCCTGAGCCGCTTTGGACAACGAAAGCCCCTAGGTCCCCTGCTGTTTCTGGGAGTCGGAGGCGGCTCCCTGGCTGGGCTAGGGGACCCAACTGTAGCGGTCCCCTTTGAAGCTCCGGGGCAGGCACATGGCCTGAACTGGTCCTTTGCCCAAAGCCCCCCTTCCCCTCCTTAGATGGTGCCGGAGAGCCCTTTTTCTTCTTCTGCTTCTTAAGCACTGGAGAGGGGAAACTGCCGGGCAGAGCCCGGTGGCGGCAGTGCGCTCCACACCAACATCATGGTACTGGAAGCGGAGTCCAACTGGGAGGGTTCTGATGCCAGATGACACGCGGCCTCCATGAGAAGTGCCCGCAAGCGGATATCCCGCTCCTTCTGGGTTCTAGGGGGAAAGCTCTTGCAAATCCTGCTCTTATCCTTTATATGGGACTCCCCCAAGCACTTTAAACAGCCACAGGGGGGTCACTAACAGGCATCAGCCTGTTGCATGATGAACACGGTGTGAAGCCCAGGGAACGAGGCATGCCCCACTGTGGGGCAAAGTCCCAGCCAGGACTCTAACTACTAAACTAACAACTAACACTTAATCTAATGGCTAAATAAGTACCTAGAGAACGATATACAAAGAAGGTAAACAAAGGGCTGTTAAGAACCGCAAGAATGCGAGACAAGGTGCTCCAACCAACTGTCGCGGGTGGTAAGAAGGAACTGAGAAGGCGTAGGGCCGGCAGTGCCTAATATGCCGACACATGAGCGCGGCACTCAAGAGGGTGCCACAGCCGACCCTACAGATACCGCTAAGGCAAAAATCTCCAATGAACTGTGCACATGGGAATACACACACCTAGAACAGAATCGACATGAGCAAGCACTCAAAGAAGAAGAAAAACTCCAGACAAAATTGCAGAAAGTTTTCTAAGAACGAATAGCCCTTGCTTTGCCTGCTTCTGCCATTACCAGATGGAGACTCTAGCAGGCTCCTCTCTGCAGCTTACTCCCAAGTCCACACGGTGGGTGGAGAGGGAGGGGAAGGGAGCGAGAAAGATGTAGGGAGGCATGGTCTCATTCCTAGAGCCCCCAGCATGGGGGAGGAGCGTGTCTCTCCTGCACAGTTCTGAGTCCAGTGAAATGCTGGAGAGAGGGTTGGCCCTGGCTGGGCCCCATTTTCCCCCCACTCTCTTCCTCCAACCTCTCCCCACCCCACAGGTAAAGCAGTCCCTGCTTTGGCTGCTTCTGCCCCTACCAGCTGGAAACTCCCACCTAACTCCCATCTAAGATCCAACAAATGGTTGCTTCTACCTACAACATTTTACTAGCACATAAATTTCTGTACACTCAATGCAAAACAGGGAAGGAACTTTGTTAAAACATTTACCAGGATGGATAAAAGATGTGACAGAAAACTTAAATTAGGGCTCTGTACAGTCCTGTACTACTAATTTGAGTATTCTGACACAATTGTCTATTACACACTCACATGTGTTATTGTTAAAGTTCCTTCCCTGTTTTGCATTGAGCGAATGAACAGTTATTTACTAGTTAAATTTTGTAGGAAGAAGCAACATTTTATTGGATCTGTGGTAGTCCAGTGACCATTCTTTCTAGATTCAAGGTTTAAAACACCATATTCCATTCTGTTAGCACTATTCTGAGGATTCGTTATCAATCAGTAACATTGAAATAGCAACAGAAATTTCTGAGATCACATTAATAAATGAGTAGTACAGCTTAGAGAGCCATTATAAAATACACAACCTTATATACCAAGATTTATGAATATGAGAGCTAGGTTACATCTGTTACAATGTTAATCCAAAGAGTTATGAAATATTAGGAAAGAAGTTAGTGCCCATCAATTGGAACTGATTTTCAAACAATGCCACAACCATTTTAGATTTTAAAGACTAAAATACTTCCATTGTAAAAATGCAGAGTTTTTCAAGAAAAACAAAACACAATCCAAACCTTGAAGCAATTTATCTGTATCTGATCCATTAACAAATGCTTATTCAGATAATAGATTACTTATTCTTACACAAGGAATGCCAAATTAAATTTGTATCTCAGAGTGCAAGCATATTAAAGAGGCTACGAAATATACCCATATAAACCAACACAGAAAAAATCACGTGAGAAATATAGAGGGAGTAGAACTGGTAGAAAAGGTAGTAAAAAACTGCATAGGAACATTTCAAAATGTTTAATTGATTTTTCAAATTTTTGCAAAATGAAATTTTTTTTTAACAAAAATCTGTATTGAAAATTTTCAGGGCCCTTTCTCTGTCAAAAATCAAATTTTCAGTAAAACATTTAATCAGTTAAATCATTTTTCAACTAAAAATATAATTGAAAACTCAATTTGGAAAAATTGTACTTCTACAAAAAGAGAGTTATTGCTTAGGAGTCTCAACACTCAGGTGGGAACCAGAGTCCTGCATTCTAATCTAGGCTTTCACACCCTCCATGGTTTCAAGCAAATCTGCACTAGAGTTGGGTGGGAAATAGGTGGGAAATTCCTTTTTAGTGAATATTTTCAAGAGTTTGAAAATTGTCCCAAATTGAATTGGGATGAAAAGTCTACCTTTTGAAAATATTGACAAACCAAATGAATAGATTTTTTAGGAAAAAGTCAATCAAAACATTTTGTCAAAATAATTCTATAACACTTCATTTTGATTGTGAGTTTTCTTTCTTAAAAAAACAAATCAATAAAAAAACATTTTAGCGTCTTAGCTTAAGTTTCTAAACAACAGGTCATTTCAAACTAAAAAAGTGAAAAACTGTGTTTCAACAACTTCAGATCTTTTTTCTTTACTCTTTTTTGAGTTAGGAAATTCATCAACATCAACCCTGTTTCATGAAGAGTTTCAGTTTTGACAAACTGGCATTTTTTTGACAACAAAAAGATGGTTTGTCAAAAAATTCCCAATCAGCTCTAGTCATAACCTTTCTAGCTCCATTTTTCCATCTTTGAAATGGGGGCAGAAATATCTCTACCTCTCACAAAGGAGGGTGCTGCGAAGATTAATAAGTTAATATTTGAAGATGAAAAGTGCTATTATAAATGTGAATGTATTTGGAAAAATTATTTTTATTCAGTATTTCATCATATATCCTGAAAAGAATGAAAGAAGGCATGTTTATCTTGCTAATGGGGAACATATGCAAAGATGTTTTTTATTGAATCTCTTACAGAAACAATTATAGAACTAAAGTGGATTTGGGAGAAAGATCAACTGGTCATATGAGAAGGTAAATAACATTTTGATCTCAAAAATATTAATAATAGTAATAATAATAACAACAAACAACTTAATCTATTAGTTTTCTTTTGGGTTGAATGGTTTGTCTGAACAAAAGGTAAATGAGATTATCATACGGTTTGATAAATGCTTTTATGATGAAAAGCACTATACACATGAAACCCATTGGAAACCTGTGTATAACAGATCTCCCACTGTCCCAATACACAGAGGATATGAGTAAAAGCTGTAGCAACTCATGCTTTTACCTCTGGTGGTCCCCAGTACAAACCTTGGTGTATCTGCCAAAATGGCAGCCCTCACACAAGCACTTACACCTTCCACTGAAGCATCTGGTACTGGCAACTGTCAGAAGCAGGACAGACATGGCAATTCCTATGTCAGTAACTGCTAAGTATTACTATAATTAATAATAATAAAAGTTGTTGTGGGCTAGCTGCATAAGGCAAATAAAAGTAAAAATAGAAGGGGATGTACCCATTAGGCCCTGTTCTTGGCTCTAGTGAAGTCATATGCAAAACTCCCATTTACTTTATTGGGAGAGGGATTTGTCCCTTCATGGCCACCATAGCACAAGCATAATTAAGAACTGATTGTTTGTCTTGACATAAAATGGGATAGGACATGACTTTGGCACCCGAAAAAAAGCAGGAGTAATTTAATTCTGGCAAAAATAAATTTAAAATGTCACAGGATCAACTTTATTTTAAGCAAGATGACCCTTTATTTTGCAAGTAAATTATTTGAAACTCAAAAGTCAAATCATATTTGCAGACTCCAAAGCAGTGGACAAATATAGAGCCAAATTTGTAAAAAACCATGGTAGAACCCTGCTCAACAGCCAGCTGGCCAAGGTTCAAAGAGCTGGACTTGTTATGAAATAAAACTAAGTTATGTTTTTCATCACCAAAGTCATAGCTGTGACAGACAAAGACTTAGCTATAGTGTACTTCTTACGTTTGTTAAAATAAATGTTCGTTAACTATTTAGAGTACCTACTTGAATAATTCCTCCTAAAAATGAAACCGCTGCAGCAACTCCAATCCTCTGCATTTCAAACTCTGATAAACCTAAGACTCCCGAATTATTGCTTGTAGTGAAATTGTTGCTTGCTGGAGAAACAAGACGCTCAACTGCATTGGCAGATATCAAGGAAGTTAAAGCAAAAGTTCCTGTAAAAGAAAAGTCACATATCAATTACCAATAAGTAGCTCAATATTTGTTAGAGTCACTAACATTAATTTTTCAAAGTACAGCCTCTATCCAGAAATGTGAAATTTGCACACTCACTTCAGGTGTGTGTTTTTAAAGCACTTGCACTTGTTGGGTGCAAATTTCTATGTATAATATGCCATATGAGCGGATAAACTGAGTGCAAATGGTTTTTTGTGTGCAAGTTCTCTTCTGTGTGCCTGAAAATAATGGTGCTCAAAAATGCACAAGCAAATAATGTGCACACAGACAAACAGAGGCAGGGTTGAAGCCCTTTTGAAATCTTTAATCACATTCAATCTTTAATCAACGTTAAAGGCATTAAAGCATCATGGAAAGCTTTGAACAACATACTGTTTGGAAAATGTTTTGCATATATTAGTTCCACCTGAAATCATAATTTCTATTACGGTATCCCAAATACATTAGGCTCCTGAGTTCAAATGGAGAAAAAGCAGCCAGAATAAAGGTTCAATTCTAGCAATTTATTGCTCAGATGAATAATCTTTTACATAAGACTAGACTAAGTGAGGTACCAGGGACTATTTATGAGTAAGAATTAGTCAAGTAGGCAAAAGTTTACAGGACCAGGCCACAGATGAACTCCATTTTTCATGCAAAAAGTCTGACTAAAACAGGTCCCAATCCTGCATCCTTTACTTAAACAGAGTTCCACTGACTTCAGAGAAGTTATTACAGGGGAAGGAGATTGTCACCTCTGAGTAAAGGATATATGGGGCATTGGCACATGGGGAGCTGTAGTACATGGTTTAGCCGTGATTCAGGAAAGCATCTTTATTTGGGAACGGAATTAAGCACATGTTTAACTTTAAACAATGAATCTTTAGCATATGCTTACGTGCTTTCCTGAATCAGGGCCTTTGGGATGATGGGATATGTGCAATAGCAGCATACTTCTGCTAAAATGGTTATCATGAAAATACATTGTGTTCATATTTATAATATTTTCTTCACAACCACGAGGGACAGAAACATTTCTGTATGACAGCTTAGATTGTGAAGCACAATTCTGTAGCAAGGGCTGGAGTCCAAAAGGTGAATTCTACAGCAAATCCAAAGCCATAGAATTGTAGGATACAGGGCTTTGAGTATACTCCACAAATCCTAGGCTGAATGACATTTGCTCCATTTCACCCCATGGATACCGTGTCAGTCCTGAAGTCCTGCCCTTTGTCCATTTCACCACCTTCATGCTACATAACAAGAGTTTATTACCACCAGATATTTTTTCTGGATATTAAGGGTGCTATGTAAGATGATGAGTGAGGTACTTTTTTCCTTTAGTGACCTTTAGTTTAAAAATCAACTGCTCGTGGAGAAATTTGTAAACATTGTCTATTTTGAAACAATTTTGCTTATATAGCCTCATATTTTTACCTTTTTTAATGAAAAGGACAAATAAAGGAACTATAAGGCTATATAGTAACCTACCTTTATCCCAGCTCCTGCCACAGAATTATTCTCCAAAATCTAAGCTTTCATTTAAAAGAATGTTTCTTGCTCTCCTGTGAACTGAGTATACTGATCATTTTAGCAGAAGCATCCATCTAATGTGCTTGTCCCACAATCCCAAACTGCCTTCCCAGGTATCAAAGGCCCCAGAGACTTCCTCCCTGACAATTTTTGTGTGGAGGACAGCTTTAGACAAATTGAATTTAATATTAGAATGCATAATACAAGGGATACTGTAACAATGTTATTCATGTGAATAGTTCATTGATTAAAACAACTTTTTTTTTCAAAAATAAGCTTCTGCAGAATTTCTAATTTGCTACATCAGAGCAACAAAACCCAAGGACCTTGACACAGAATTCATGTCCTGTTTGATGTAAATTATCTGGAGGTTTGACAATATAACATACATATGTTGGGAGACAAATTCTATGTACTTTGGAATGTACATTGGTTTCCCAGTAGACCACATAGCTCTTACGGAGCTGTTAACAGTATTGATTTCAAAACCATCTAGTTATTCAAAAGACAGTGTTTGCTTCTTAGAAAACATATTAGCCAGAGTGGAGATGTATGCAGTTGGGCTATGTGAGCCCTGCAGGGTGTGGTTGCACATGTGGTTCCAAATTGGTTGCACATGTGGTTTGTGTGTGGTTGCACACGGTTCCAAATTTCCAAGAACCATCTTCCCTCCCCTCAAAAGGCTCCCACAGCCATTCCCCTTCCCCTAAGGTGCAGGATACCCCTTTCACATTTTATCTTTGGTTGACTGGGGGCAGGGGCTACGGCCCTGCATTTAAGCTCATTGTACTCGCCTACTGGAACCAAGTGCCTGTCTCTATACGTCCCCTGGTCTTCGAGAGTCACTGGGAGGCCACCATTCCCACAGACAAATTTCTTGGTGGTCCAACCTGATGAATACAATTCCCTTTCTCAGTTCATAACAGGTTTCCTTAGGGAACAAAGCAGTCAATCTAGCAGGAGCTCGGAAACACTTCTTGCCACTGTGGGTAGCTCTGCTCAAAGCAGTGGTGAGGAGGCCACATAATCACGAGCATGGCAGCTAGGGAACTCCTAGTGGTTCCTTAGCTTCTACAGTGGAAGTGATGGGGCATCTTCACCCTTCAGCTCAACAGAAGCATCTGATCAGGGGTAATCCCAATTCTACTGAAGTATATGGAGTAGGGAGAAGGTATGTTTTGGTGAGAAGTACTGGGGTTGTGTTATAGCAATGTGAGAAATAATGAGGTGTTTCTATAGTTTAGGAACAGTCAAACTTTTAGTTGTTCCTGTTTATATTTAAAAAGGCTCTCACTAGCTGAGCTCTTGTCTGTTAAAGTTTTAGCTTCCAGCAAATTTATATAGTCAGGTGCATAAGTCCCTGATAAACTATATTTATAAAGGAAGTATTGATGCAGTATTCAATTATAGTGGTAGGAATGGCTCCAGTATAACCTTAGGAATGGCTCCAGTATAACCTTAACAAGGCTTTTTTTTCTTAAAAACACTTTTCTTAAGCAGAAAAAGATGTAGCTGTAAAGAAAAGGCACAAGAAATGTGAACAGGTTAATCTGTTTTAAGACACTTCCCTCTTTCTCTCCCCCATAACTGATCCTGTGACGCTTAGTACCTTCAACTTGCAATGAACACACCAGTTGTTGAGGAAGCGCCTCATTTCACAGAACACACTCAGCAACTTGCACGATGGGAGCCTAAATGTTTCCAGACACTTACCTGTTGCAACATGGCGTCCCATTCCAAAAATAGCATAAAGGATGACAGGAAAGAGAGATCCATATAAACCAAACACTGGATGGACTGAAGACAGAACAGCAAAGGCCAGCCCTATAGAGAAGGATAATGGAAATTAGTAAACAATACATTGCACCAAGATATCAAATTACGTTACATTTGGTTTTGGTCGGGGGAAAAGTCCACAGCTTTAACACTAGGATTAAAACTACCTACAATGATAATTACATCTATAAAAAGCTAAGGCATAAACCAACCACTAAGCAATGGGGTTTGGAGGAATCTTCTGTTGTGGGTGGATTTCTCCATAATTATCTATTAATAATACCTAGTTCTTATATAGCACTTTTCATCCATAGATCTCAAAGCACTTTACAAAGGAGGTCAGTATCATTACCCCCATTTTACAGATAGGGAAATGGAGGCACAGAGAAGGGACCTGACTTGCCCAAGGTCACTAAATAGGCCAGCAGCACAGCTGGGAATGGAATCCATGTCTCCTGAGTCCTTATCCAGCACCTTCCTCTAAAGCATCTGGGATTAGTCCCTATCAGAGATAGGATACTGGACTATATAGGTCACTGATCTCATATGGCAATTCATATGTCCGTGTTGGGGACAGCGGGACAGAATTCGCAGGCCAAAGTCCACAGAAAAGAGAAGGCACAAGGTGAAAAGAAACACACCAGAAACTCCAGAAGAGGCAGAAGAAGAGGAAAGCTTGCCCTGTCTAAAGGGGCAGGCAGGAAGAAGAGCGGAGCATGGGGAAGGAGGAGAAGACTACTTAAGTCTGATCTACACTTGAAAGTTCTAGCAGCACAATTATTTCAATTAGGATGGTGATTTTTTTTAATCAAGATAGTTATACCAGTACAACTCCTACTGTGTATGCAGTTGTGCTGGTATAAAGGTGCTTTATTCAGGTATAGCTTATCCCCTCTCCTGTTTGGGAATTAGCTATACCAGTATAACTTCATCCACTCTAGAGGAGTTGTACTGGTTAAACTAAACCACTGCAGTTAAAGTGGTACAACTTTTACGTGTAGATAAACTCCAAGGAAATAGACAATGGACCCCTTACTGAACGGCTAGAATCAGAGGTCCATTTTCTAAGCAGTGTGTGTGAAATGGGTCCATAAATCCTGGCTAAGGTGAACTGCAAAACTTCGTATGTTTAAGATCCAATATCATTAAAACAGTATGCACGTGCAAACTAAACAATTACAAATAAGAACATTTACATTTAAAAACAAAATAGTAACACTTCAGTGCTTGGAGTGCACACTCTGAACTACTTTGGTAACCTCGACACTGCTCTATAGAATTTAGTTCTCATGTATTGTTTTCAGTGTCTGTGATACTATCAGTTCCTTCCTGCAGAGGAAGTACAGAAAAATGGCCTGCTATTTAAATCATAATAATTTTCACATATAAATTTTAATGTATAAAGTCAGATGGGGGGTAGTCCTTGTATTGGTTTTTATTCTGCACTTACGGTCACTTACTGATTTGGGATCTTAACCAGTGTTAAGATTAAACAAAATTTGTGCAGTTTACCTTCAAAAGGTGTTCACATGCTTAAATAAATAGATTTTAATCACTCAGTTCAAGAGGGATTAACTGAGGAATTGCAATGGCTAGTGGAGTGTACTGTAATGACTCTCAAGCTAAGTTAAGAAACTTCCTGCTGTAGGACGTTTACATATTTGCTACTCACAGCTACCAATCAATATGGGATTAAATACAGTATTACTTTGTTTCCTCTTAGCGCTAATGAGGGAAATGAGGCTTTAGCTATTGGGAAGTAAGCTGTCACCATCTAGTGATAAATGTCAGATTTACCAGATTCTCAAACCTCTGCAAGCATTTACTTTGTTTTTCAGTTTCCAAAAATGGTTTGAATCTGAGACTTGTGACTACTGTGGCCAGACTGTGTTTGGTCCAGCACACATGAACAAAATGTGTGCAGGGCACAAGGAGTCCAAGCCCAGGTCTACACTATGGAATTAGGTCCAATTTAGCTGCGATAGGTGGATTTTAAAATGAATGCGTCTACACAATCAACCCCGTTCTGTCGACCTAAAGGGCTCTTAAAATCGACTTCTGTACTCCTCCCTGGTGAGGGGAGGAGCACTAAAATTGACCTTGCTGGGTCAAATTGGGGTAGTGCAGACGCAATTCGATGGTATTGGCCTCCAGGAGCTTCCCAGAGTGCTCCAATGTGACTGCTCTGGACAGCACTTTGAACTCCGATGCACTAGCCAGGTACACAGGAAAGGCTCCAGGAAATTTTGAATGTCATTTTCTGAGCGTGGCGAGCTCAGCAGCACAGGTGACCATGCAGTCCCCCCAGAATTGCAAACCAGCTCCAGCATGGACTGAAAGGGAGACACTGGATCTGATTGCTGTATGGGAAGAAGAATCTGAGCAGGCCGAACTCCGATCAAAAAGAAGAAATGCCAATATATTTGCCAAAATCACACAGGGCATGGTGGAGAGAGGTTACAACAGGGACACACAGCGGTGCGTGTGAAAGTTAAGGAGCTCAGGCAAGCCTACCAAAAGACAAAGGAGGAAAATGGTCGCTCCGGGTCAGAGCCCCATACATGTCGCTTCTATGATCAGCTGCATGACATTCTGGGGGGGACCCTACCACTACCCCACCACTCTCCGTGGACACCTTCAAGGGGAGAATCTCACGCAACAGGGAGGAGGATTTTGTTGATGAGGAAGAGGAGGAGGAGAATGCGCAGCAGGCAAGCGGTGAATCCGTTCTCCCCGGCAGCCAGGACTTTTTCATCACCCTGGAGCCAATACCCTCCCACGACGGGATCCCCGACCCTGAAGCCGGAGAAGGCAGCTCTGGTGAATGCACATTTGTAAGTACAGTACAAGGCTTAAAAGCAAAAGTGTTTAACGTTTCATTTGCCCTGAAGAATTGGGATGCATTCACGGCCAGTACAGCTACTGGAAAAGTCTGTTAACGTGTCTGGGGATGGAGCGGGAATCCTCCAGGGACATCTTCATCAAGCTCTCCTGGAGGTACTCTGAAAGCCTTTGCAGAAGGTTTCTGGGGAGGGCTGCCTTATTTTATCCTCCACAGTAGGATACTTTACCATGCCAAGCCAGTAGCAAGTGGTCTGGAACCATTGCAGCACAAAGCATGGCAGCGAATGGTCCTGGGTTTTGGTCACATTCAAGCAACATTCGGTCTTTATCTTTCTGTGTTAGCTTCAGGAGAGTGATATCATTCATGGTTGAAATAGGGGAATTTTTGTAAGGGAACAGTAAAAGGACCACGTTCATGCTGGGTTGTTTGTGCTTGGCTAAAAGAGATCATCCTGGAGAATAGTCACATGGTGGGGTGGGGGAAGGTGTGTGCTGCACATACACCCGAAAACCGTAGCCCCTCCTTTTAAACGTGAAACCCAACTGGCATTGCTTGCTATGGGAAAAGATGGTGCTGCAGTCTGAAACCATTCCCACATGTTACGAAGGTGTATGAAGCCAACCCCGTGTACCAAAAGGCTTACCATGGCTGCCTGGAAACCAAATACTGTTGCCCAGCCAGTTGTGATGTGTCATCACAGTGGTAGGCACTCAATATAAAAGGCAAAATGCGACCTTGTACCTAAAGCACATGTGCTGTCTGCTGTGAATTGCTTGATTCACTGTGAAAGAGTCTCCCTTTTGTTCTCAGAAATGTATCATCTTAAATTTTACTCTCCCTTTTTCTCTTCCTCAGGTGCAAATGTTTCTATGCTCCCCCTATCATCTCCATCCCTGAGGTTATCGCAGATTAGAGAGTGAAAAAAATGCACTCGCGATGACATGTTTTCCAAGCTCATGCAATCCTCTCGCACTGACAGGGCACAGCTTAATGCATGGAGGCATGGAGGCATTCAGTAGCAGAGGCCAAGAAAGCTGGGCATCGCAAAATGGGGAAGAGATGGCCAGCCCTCTGTGGAGATAGAGGTGGTTAGGGACTATTTAGAAAAGCTGGACGTGCACAAGTCCATGGGGCCGGACGAGTTGCATCCGAGAGTGCTGAAGAAATTGGCGGCTGTGATTGCAGAGCCATTGGCCATTATCTTTGAAAACTTGTGGCGAACGGGGGAAGTCCCGGATGACTGGAAAAAGGCTAATGTAGTGCCAATCTTTAAAAAAGGGAAGAAGGAGGATCCTGGGAACTACAGGCCAGTCAGCCTCACCTCAGTCCCTGGAAAAATCATGGAGCAGGTCCTCAAAGAATCAATCCTGAAGCACTTGCATGAGAGGAAAGTGATCAGGAACAGCCAGCATGGATTCACCAAGGGAAGGTCATGCCTGACTAATCTAATCGCCTTCTATGATGAGATTACTGGTTCTGTGGATGAAGGGAAAGCAGTGGATGTATTGTTTCTTGACTTTAGCAAAGCTTTTGACACCGTCTCCCACAGTATTCTTGTCAGCAAGTTAAGGAAGTATGGGCTGGAAGAATGCACTATAAGGTGGGTAGAAAGCTGGCTAGATTGTCGGGCTCAACGGGTAGTTATCAATGGTTCCATGTCTAGTTGGCAGCCGGTATCAAGTGGAGTACCCCAAGGTCGGTCCTGGGGCCAGTTTTGTTCAATATCTTCATAAATGATCTGGAGGATGGTGTGGATTGCACTCTCAGCAAATTTGCGGATGATACTAAATGGGAGGAGTGGTAGATACGCTGGAGGGGAGGGATAGGATACAGAAGGACCTAGACAAATTGGAGGATTGGGCCAAAAGAAATCTGATGAGGTTCAATAAGGATAAGTGCAGGGTCCTGCACTTAGGACGGAAGAATCCCATGCACCGCTACAGACTAGGGACCGAATGGCTAGGCAGCAGTTCTGCGGAAAAGGACCTAGGGGTGACAGTGGACGAGAAGCTGGATATGAGTCAGCAGTGTGCCCTTGTTGCCAAGAAGGCCAATGGCATTTTGGGATGTATAAGTAGGGGCATAGCGAGCAGATCGAGGGACGTGATCGTTCCCCTCTATTCGACATTGGTGAGGCCTCATCTGGAGTACTGTGTCCAGTTTTGGGCCCCACACTTCAAGAAGGATGTGGATAAATTGGAGA